TATTGGGGCAAGGATTCCGTCGCTTTTCCGTTATTACCACGACGCGATGGCACTGGATAAAGTTTTTGGTTATGCAGGACAGAAGCTTACTTACTTTTATTAACTCGGAGATAATTCAGTTATGACACAACACTGAGCTTTGTCTCATCTCGGCTTGCGCCTAATGTCCTTTTATGGACATTATTATGGTGCACTTTACCTTGAATTTTAAGCATCCGGTTCAAACACAAGTTTGAAAGTCAAACAATTTACTGTGTGCGTGCGGTGTGTCGTCGTCGTGGTACGAAACATAATCGTAACTTAGTCTACATTATTATGCATACTTTTCGAATGAAAACCCTCAAATCTTGGCAAAGTGAAGCCCAAAAACTTGGGCAAGATTGGGAGAAGAAAGGATTTGAGACGATACAGTTTTTAAGATTCAAATGTTCATAATAAGATATGCATTGCAGGCAGTTTTGCATTTCCACAACTTTTCACTAGCTTTACTTAGATATTTTCATTCCAAGAAATGTTCTCCGCCTTCGGAAAGTTGAGCCACTCCGTCTGCTTTGGTTTAGCAGAGAGATTTAAACTTGGATGGGCAAGCTGGAGGAATGCACAATTTTGTATTACGGAGAACACTGCGCAGAGATGAGATGAGGTCGTGTGGAAATGAATTACGAAAATGAATTTGACCCCCTCCCACCCAAATGGTGGGACCCTGGCTGCGTACAAGACAAGGAAATGCATGGTTATGTGTTTCTTTCCCTCCTTGCTCTTCAATTTCCAACATTCATTCAACTTTGGCTGAGTTTGCGGATGGAGAAGAACGAAAAAAGAATGAAACAAATGGCGTTCGACTATTTGACTTTGTCGAATTGTGCGGCACAAGAAAATAACAAAAATTACAGCATCAGTACATACATACATAATATATAATGTTTTGAAGAATAAAATATTTCGCCGCGACACGGCACGTGTTTCATTTTGCGTCGTAGTAAGAATCATCATGCTCTGTACGGTAATTGTTTTGATGAATTGTTAATTACGTTTGAGACAAATACAGACCCAGACACACATATTTGCTCACGTACACATCCGCGTCCCACGCAGTCGGTAAATCCTGTGTAAAACATTTAACGTAGAGAAAGTAACTTTCCCATTCTCCATTGTCTTCTGTGTATCCATCATGAGACGCGAGACAACTTTGTAAATTGTCTCACACATCCAACCTTAGAAAACCCCCATTAAATTATGGATTATCCACTTACTGCTGACCACACGAGTGAAGCTTACTCCATAATGCAGAGAAATTGGACTGAATTATACCTCAAACTATCGCAATGATCTTATTTCTGCTCAATACACTCCTTCCTTCCACCAAGCAGAACCGAATTATTTAAATCCCAAAAGGCTAATAATTTTCCCATTTTATTGCTTTTTATCTCCTCCTGACCCTCAAGTCAGTCTCACTCCCCATCCACTCTCTACTTGAACAGATGAATTATTGCACTTCATCCCCATCAAGTTCGATCCATCCCAAAGCCACAGAAATTGTACCCGCATCGGAGTCGCATCACCATATCAATGGTGGTGTTATTTCGGCTCCAAACATGTAAAAGAATGAGTCACTCGGATATTAGAGAAAGTGAAAGCTAAGCCCGAAACCACACAACTAATGCCCACACACAACTAACCACAATATTAAAGCGTGAAGAAGAAGGGCAACTTTTACAAGAAATTGATGCAGTTTCACCATCTCCCTCACGCAATTTTTACAAGGAGATGAGATAACGGTCTGTTATTACGAACTAGAATTGGGGAACAAGCCATGTTATCATCCCCAATCTTATATCATCCTTGTCATGTGAAGGTTATAATATAAAGTGCATTCAGGAACATAACATTGCATCACAATCTCTCACAAGATGAATCTACTCACTCACTACTCGTCTGAATGTCGAGTTAAAGTTTTCTTCTGTTTGCGACTGACTCGACTATTGGAATTTATGTCGAAATGGATACACACACTACAATAAATCACTCCCCCTTCGCTCGCTTTATTATTTCGAAGGATTCAACAAGGAAGAAAATTGCATCCCATTCATCCGTCCTCCTTCTCCTCAAGATGCAGCAGCAGAAGCAAAGAAATGTGAACTTTGAAGTTGTGCATGGCTGGACTGACATTTATGCTACCTTACAAACTACGATATACGTAGCGACATATGCATAACTTCCGGATTTCCAACCTGGTCCAAAGTGGTTGTCGAATTTCATCCGAGGGTGAACCTACACACGGCCTCAGAGAAAAAGAGGTATCAATCAAATAAAGTAAAATGAGCGCAATACAAACAGCTTATTGGATAAATAAAAAAAGGAACGCATACCACAGGCAAAATACCATCTGATGGTGACCCTCAGGTTCACGTACGTAATCCCCTCTCTAACAGATTCATTTTTTTAATTGAATTGAAAAGGTGAATTCAATTCAAGGTGAATTCAAGCAGCTATTTTGTATAGGTAGTTAGTTAGGGGGAACACAAGCGGCTGGATATTACAGATGAATGGAAAAGGCCTAAGCTGCTGCTGCTGCATGAAAAGAATGACGGTATAGATTTAAATGGCAGGGTTGAGTTCAACTGTGAGAGCTATTACTGGGAGTAAGAGGATGAAGCTTATTATTATGATGGTTGTTCCTCTTAAAGCAGAGATTCAAAGGCTTAGGTCAGGGTTGAAAGAGGAGAGAGGACGATGAGGTTTCACATCACAACAAGACTAATAAAAAATACGACTGGCTTATTTAGAAAGGGAGAGAAATATTGTGGGATCAAAACAATGATACAAGTTTTGCGTACGTACCATTTATACAGATCTAGTTCGTTATAACAATCTACTTTGGTTTAAAATGTACTCCAATAAAATCAAAAACGCTATCTCTTCAATCACAAACCACCAAATTCCCACCAAATTTATATAAATTGTATTGTACTAACTTTTAAAACTTTACGCAGTCAAAACAACAACTCCCATTACAATAAGTTGTCCTAGTTAAAAAAGAAGTCGTCGTACTCAATAATCGGAATCTTCTTGGTCTTGTTAACCCTTTCGTAGCCTTGTTGATGACCCTATTTACCTACCCAAGTACGTAAAATATATCCGTCCCATCTCATTTCCACATTTCAATCGTTTCCTTTTGTTTAAGGGTCCAGAAGAATACATTATTCCCTCCCGATCTCGTTACCGACCGTGTACAGGTACATACATATTTGTTACATAATATAGTATCATCATTACCTGCTGCAAGTACCCCAGTCTCTGTCTTATTTTTCTTTACAACCAAAAACAAATCCACCCATCTCGCCATAACAAATATCATGAATATAAGTGGAGCAGGTAGAATCATAAACATACAACAGCTCATCATCAAAAATGCTCAGAGTACGTTTCAGTCCTGGAAGGAAGGTAGTACCCAATCCACCAACCAACCAAATTCCCCACTTCCATGTAACAGAACCGTATCATTAAGTAACCCTGAGTCGGTCATGAATGATGGCGTTTCTCGCCTTAAAAAATGAAAGCACGTTAATGATGACGATTTTCATTGTGTTGCGTGCATTTTAATGGACGTTCCTTCACAAGAGGAGACTGGACTATATAAAACGCTCTGCTTTTGGCTGTGGGAATATTTTTTGTTTTCTTCTTCGCCCCCTGTTTTTGTAAACTTTAATATTTTTAGGGGAACATTCACAACTGAATTTTCATCTTCTGGTCCACATTCACATCATACTTTGAGATCAAACAAGCTGGCTGGATTACTCTCACCTAATTTCATTTTGAACCCAACAATACTTTGACTAATGGAAATAACAACGTGCAAAGCACACACAGTTTGTAATATGTCTCATGTCTGGGCGATTGTCTGTCCTGTATTATGATAAGTAATGATAAGCTCAAGAAAACACAGAGCTTCCAGTCGAGTGAAAGTGCACGCATTTATTTTTTTTTGTGGAGGAGTAGTAATTCCATCTACATTAGCTCACCTCTTTGCTTTGCTCTGATTCTTCCATTCAGCACAATTTGCACAGGATTTTTTGCACAAATCTGCTTTAATAATATGCTGCCAACAAGTACATAATAATACAGGGATTACATTTTTTCCCCTTCTTACTGCCAAGAGCGTAGGTATATTTAAACCTCTAACAATACTACTAATGGGCACCCATTGTGCAAATTCTGATGAAGCATGATACTGCAAATACATAAGTAATCCGGCGGATATCTATGAATCCGTACTAGTAACGGATTCACACTTAAATTATAAGAACCTGGTCATTTCATTCCGTTTGAGAGTGGCAATGATGATGATGATGATGATGATGATTACGAATACAATTGAGTTGACAAATGTTAAGAAGATAAGAAGAGGAGGACAAGAAAGTGTACAAGTGGTGGTGATACTGATGATAATACATGTAATTCTATGTATATAATTTTCATCCACCATCACACAAAATGTACACAGACAGAAAATCTAGACGGATTCATATATATGATGATCAAAGATCTTGTCTTTGTAATGATGATAATATCCAAATAAAAATATGGATAACAAACTTATTGTATACGAACGATTCATAAATAATGTCTCACATCACATCTCAATTTGGCGACAGTCACCCAGAGCGAAGAATAGCAATCATTTATAATCATATCTAATAATAATGACATCGTTTCTTCCTTCCAACCAGGAAGACGACAAGTTTTAGTGAAAAGGGTTCCTTGCTTGCTTGCATTTCGTATGAGAAGAACTCGATTCAAAGGAACAATGCCTTGTCTCCTGGTTGCTTCCGATTTTTCTCCATTCATGCTGAGCTCTCTCTCTCTCTCCTGTCCTTCATTCTGCTGTTCAAACTGTGACAAAAATTCGTACTTTGTGGCAAACTTCGCAGCAGAATAAAATGATAAAAACGCGCAAAAACGCTACAGTTTTCTTGCAGAAAAGATAAAATTTTGCAGAGTCCGACATGAATAAAATATTTTATTCGCGAAAGAAGGAAATTGTGTGAATGTTACGTAACAATAATACATATTCAACAAGATGATAAGATGCTCCAATTATTGTTGTGAGTTTCCACACAAAACAGAGATTACTTGACTACTGCTACTGCTATTAAAATATGGGAGAGTTGAGAGGAAAAAGTGAACAACAAACAACGGGATCCACTTACTGGGCTTTTTTATTATTTTGTATGAAAATCTAATTCTATTCTACTAACTCATACGTATCACTGACATATGAATGTGGAAGGACAGAGAAAGGAACAAGAAACACAAATCTATCCATCAAGTCATCACTGAAACACTGAAATGGGGAGTAAAGAACAAACAACACGGAGATATCTAATACTTACACAAGTTGGTTTTTCTCATCTTGTTCTCTCATCTGACTTGGAAATGTAGGAAAAACATTACCATTTATTTCCTTTGATTTGCTTCGGTTCCTTACCACGCATGTTATCACGCAAGCAGAAGACGTGGAAATGGGGGACGTGAAGAAGGGACGGACGGACACGACGACTTTGACAAGACGAGACGGTGGTAGATGATTGTTCCAGATCTGCTCTCCTCCTGTCCTTCTTCCTTCATGGTTCGACTGTGTAAATAAATAGTAAATATCACTGAGGAGAAACAGTATAGAATAGAAATCCTTGCTCCATGGTGGCTGAGGAAATTACTGGATGGCTGACTACTGCATTAAACCACAAGAAGCAAAACCACACACATAGTTTTTGTCTCATCTTCTTCTCTCCTCCTCCGTTAATCTATTTCATGGAAGAATAAAGGAGCAAAGAAGAAGCTGGATGACGAACGAGGACGAAATAGAATGAAAGAACGGAAGAAAATCGTTGGTAAAAAAGCAACAATGTTTGTTCCAACAGATTGATGGTAATGTTGTAATGTGGAGCATATGAATCAATGGGCTGTAGTTATGCACATATGTACACAGGATGACGAAATTGATCCAAAACATATCAACATATTTCATACTTACAAGATCCATATTTAGAACATTTTGATATAATAACATTATGAAATATGTTTGGTTATTGAGAAATTTAGCAATACCAAAACAACCTCTTGCATCACATTGATGCATTTTTACAGGAATAAGTCACATAAATGCAGGAAGTCTCGTCTTAATTAATTTTGCACGTACATAACGGAACTTTCACTGCAAACAGTAGGAAATAAATGCATACTGACAAAAAAACATACAAACTTGCATCATGCACACCAACCAATTAAACCTACCACCTGGAGAATTAGGAGGTTAATTATTTAATTATTTCTACTGTTGGACAGACAATGAACCCGAGCCAGCCAGACAGGGAATGCATTTGTTAAAAAAACTGGTAAAAAATTTGTAGCATGTATATTTTATTTAATAAAACAGTGAGAATGGAATTTGGACAATATTGTGGTTGGTGTGTAAAAATTGAGAGAAATGAGAAAAGGGAAGAGCATGCAACTTACTTTTTCCGATGCAACACCTACACTTTACTTCACACGAACATCAAAAAGCTTTCATGCCATTGTTAGCTCTAACTAACTCTTAATCTCAATCTTAATCCATCACCATTATTATCCGAATTAGGGATTTCTTCTCTTACCTTATTTTTCAACTGTTCTTCACTCACTTCAGGCTCCATTGTCATTATTTCCATTGTTGCACAGAGTTAAGAGGTACGTAGAGGTAAGGTTCATCATGATACGCCGTACATACTTGTAACAATTCCTTCGTAAAAATATGATGGAATGATGACAGGCAAAATGAAGACATCATCAAATCTCGAAACATATCTAGTTTCTGAAATCAAACTTAAATTATTACTCTTGTCTTGTAGCTAAATAAGTAAATTGGGAAGGTTGTAGCTCCTGCTCCATCTAAAAAAATGAGTGCTTATCCTCCTCTCACACCAAATGCAGGTAAATAAATAAATAAATAAAGAATAAAACGACAGGAAATGAAGAATTGTCTATGAATTAATTTTATATCTGTATAAGATCAACTGAAAAATGGAAATATATTTACCAACGGAAACTTGAGATTAATCAACATGCTTCTTGATATTTTTAATACGTTTGGTTAATGGGAATTTTTGAGGCAAGTTAGACATGAACCAAGGAGTCACCGGAGTCACCGTTACTACTACAGGATTCTTAAATTAAATTAGTTCACAAAATACAGGACGACTTTACTCCCACTTATTCCACTAAAGTCATCTTTTTAAGCTTGTCAAACACTTGAAAATCCCATCGCTTCAAGTTATGTCACCTCCTGAGTGTGCATGTACATACCTCCATTTGAATGGTATAAAGGGCTCTTGAATTCCAGATTTGAAGGAAATTAGGAACTTGAGGGCTTGCGTTAAGAGGGACCAATTGTGTTTGGCATTTCATTATTTGTACATTGTGCAACTTGCTTTGTTGTCATCCTCGTCATATTCTCTTCTCTTGAGTCAGAAGGGAGCAGCACAACGTCTGGTCTGGCCTCTTCTTCTTCTGGTCACAGCAGCAGATCAGAAGCAGCATTGAGAAAGAGAGGAGTCCCTTGACAATGACAATTGGCCATTGTCAACCCAAATTGTCCAGACCCCGGCACCACCACACTGGGCTGTGATAGTGTTTTGAATGTCACAATACAAACAAAAGAAGACGTGTAACATGCAATGCGAGGAGAAAAACGGACAAATATATGTTCTCCTGAAGAAAAAATGGAAACCTTTGCTGGTTAAGTTCCCTCCATTTTTCTTAATCCACGACCAATATCAAGAATCGATCAAAAAACTTAGCACTGGTCACGAAGCACACACCGTTTTCCGAATGCACATCATTTCATATAGACATTTACCGGAAACATATTTATTTATATCAAAATCCTCCAACATGATGTCCAACATTTATATATTTATTTCATTTTTCTGTTTCATCTTCTCGATTCTCGATTGTTACTTATCTTCGGTTATCTTTGGTCTGAGTTATTTTTTCTCTTTCTTGTCTCCTTTCAACCATATCGAATATCGAGATCAAAGTCGAATAAGTGGGCAGAGAGGTGGAACCATATTGGTTTTTGGTGGTCTTGTGTGTGGGTTGGTGTACGTAGTTTATCGTCATATTTTCAAGGTGGGAACGCAAGGACCGGAGACAGATGCAAGCGACTTGTCCAGTGACAGGGGTATGATTAAGTATAATGATGATGGTTGTGGTTTTCTTTGTTGAATTTGTCATCTTTTTCCTACAAAATTGTTTCAATCTTAAGGAAAAACAACTGCGTGCATGGTTTGGTACAAAACTGATTTTATCCATCTTTTCTACAGAGCAGAGATCTTGAACAATATGTCGATCTCATTTTAAATGACATATAATTATAAAACTCGTATTTCTGTGAGGAAGTAAAGTCGGATGACAACTTTTGATAAGGACCACAGAAGAACTACTTATCCAGGATAGAATATATTGGAAACTGGTTCAAAATTTCAGCAATGCCAGTGCAGGAACCAGAATCATCTTAGTTATCAACAAAAGAAAAAACAAAATCTTATCTTTCCACATCAACCCACAAATTATTTTAGACATGAACACGCAAAGTTGGGATAACGACAAATGTCGAAATGAATTAGGGACAACCTTCTCCGTTATCCAATGTATACTCGCATCTGTTTTCTTTATTTTATACCTTGTCATTTATTTTCAGCCCTATCTGTTAATGTCCCCGAAAAGATCTTACGCTCCATCCGGAAGTTTAGATTTTCAGAAATTCCACGAAAACTAATTTTAAGTGTGAGTTTACAACAACTTGAAGATACATTTTTTAAATGAGTCAGAACCTTGGACTGGTGGTTTGGTTAAGTTTTTTGTACATAAATACGTACATTTTTCATGTTCAATGTTTAATTATAGGAGAAATAAGATTGGATATCATTACGACCTAGGACGAGTGCGTATGTATGCACATACATTACTCACCCACCGTTGTGGTTGTTAGGCAAAGATACCATATCTCCTTCTCCTAAGAAATTACGAATACGCTCTGCTGCTCACTCTCTTTGTATCGTAATGATTGGCCATAAAATGTTTCCATACACGAAACAATAATCTTTAAGCAGGCGACTCATAAGTTACCAACCACTAGAAGTAACGTAGTAAATACTTATGAGAGCCAGGTAGTAAAAAACTAAACCAAAAAGCCAAATAACAAACAAGGTTCTAAACAACGAACGAGCAGACAAGTTAAACTTTACTTTCGTGTCGGCCCCTGAGATGATGATAATAATATCTTGTGGTCATACTTGTACATCGTCGAACTGCTAGTTAGGAAATTCCTGGCTCGGAGGAAATAAAATGAATGACTCGCTTGTCGGATTGTGGTGTGGTACAGACGGCAGGTTTCTCTCTGACTGACTGACTCATGGAAAAAGGTAGTCGACTGATGAGCCTCAAGTCACCTCAACCCGAACCTTCAACTGAAGACAAGATTACTCTCTGACGGTGTACGTTGGTTGTGGTTTTGTTTGATTTGAATTTGAGCCTTGCTCCTCCGAAGTAGTTTGAATGAGATACAAATGATGTGTTTTAAGAAGGTGAGACATAGTTATTTGTTTTACTGGGGATACATATTTTAGAGCAAAAAATTGTAAGCTATGTATCTTCCGCGAAGCACTCGAATTTTTAAGTAGTTCCTGGATCATAATTTGTTTTTGAGCACTAACCGTTTATGTCGGGTGGTTTGGTAGTAATTCTTTAAAATAAAATTGATCAGGACGAAATCACCTTTTCCATCATGTTTACTTTAGTTAAAGGACAGGAAGACAAGAAAAGAGAAAATTATCACATCAATCGCTCATTGAATCACCTTTAATGTTGAAATGATTGATCACTAATGCATCTTTACAAAGCGCTACAATCAAACGTGAAAGGAAAACTTGCATTTGATGCACTTAAAAAAAGAAGGTTTAATTGAAAAGTTTCTTCTCGACACGACCTCTCCCTCCACTATTCGAAACTTTCAGAAATTTACTAAAATTCTTCAAGTTCAAAATTATTTATCACGTCGAAAGCCGAGTTGATAAAAACAAGTGCGATGCATTTGATATTTTGTTTTGTCTCTTAATTTTGTTGGCATTGAGGTTTAGGCGTAAACAACTATAGCATTGAAACCTTTGTTTTTATAAAGTTGTTTGTATCAATTTTGCCCATACTTAACACAATGTACGTGGAGTTTCAAGGCCTCTCTCGATATTGACACCAGCCAGCTAACTAAACCAACCACACCTTCCCGAACATGCCTCTCCTCCGTCACGAAGCACATGCAGACTTTCTCTTTCTGAATAGTGTATTGTGTTATAAATTGTAAAGTAGAACTGGTGGAAAGGGTTTTGGACAGTTTGGTTGTTGAGAAGTTTAGTAGTCCGATTGGCATTAGCTTTCTCTCTCTCTCTCCATCTCATCACTTTCATGCCTTGCTGCGCGTGGTATGGTGAAAGTCTAGGTGGGGGTTCAATCCATTCTCTCACCCGTGATGGCAGCAGCCAAAGTTTGTGATTCGTTTTTGTTTGGACTTGACTTTGAGTCTGGCTGGCTGAATGTATTCTAAATTCCAATCCAATCCAGCCAAAGTGAAACGGCAAACTCTGTATAACTCTCCCGACGAACGACTTTCACCAATTTCTTGCATTCCTCTCGGCTCAACTTGTAAATTCCTCCCCATTATCATTCCCACTGCTAGGTGTACAGTTTCCCCATCGTTGTGCGGTGCAGAGCTGGCAGAAGACAAGACTAAGGTCAAATTCATACTACGAACGAGCGTATTTTATCAGGATTATATTCCCGTTTGATGATATGATACTGGCACAAATGAGAATTTAAACGCAAAATCTAAACCACTCCAAAGCCAACCACATCAAAGATATATTTCCATTTGCTTGACGAATGAATACACAAAGTGGAACCGATACTCAACGTGTGGTCTAATTTCTGTGCTATCGTCGCTTTGAAAATACCCGCTTCATTCGAATTGATGAGCTTATTGGGAATTTAATTAGGAAAAATATTCTTTAATTAAAACCGACTATAGGAAAATGTAGGGCTTATCATTAATTAATTGAAAAGCTTGACACACATTTCATACATACACATTTTGCTTACTGTTCGGATTAATTTAGCGAAATTGAGACGTAGTAAAACTCACTCCAAATAAAATTTGTATTCAATGAAAAACATGACTACTTTTTAGATACCAATGAAATCCTTGTGGTGGTTTAATAGCGTGTCTTTCCAGGAAGGAGACGAGACCGCCCGGAGAAAGCCAACCAACTAAATTCATTTCATTCAACTTTCTCCCGTTTTGCGTGCAGCCTCATTCCATTATTTTCCACTATTGACTTCGGTCCTATGTACGTATGAGCCACCAAACCTCCCAACCAACCAACCACCGCACGACTCCATTTCATTTTACTCCAAATCATTTTAATCGTACCGTCTTCTTCTTTGTCTTGCTATTTAGTAATCTAATTTATTACCAAGGATTTGCAGATTTGATTCCACCAGTTTAATACTTACCTTGGCTGCCTCCTCGACTAGTCACCTACGCACACTTTCTCCTGACGGAAGCCACAAATGCAATAAGTAAGTAGCTCTCCGGTACCCTATTTCTCTCCTATTTATCCTGGAACGCTGGGGAAATTGGGATTAAATTAAATTCCTTTAATCCCTCCTCCTCCTTTGACCCGCTTTACTTTCCCTTATTTATGAACAAAGTTACAATGTTAATTAATTTTAGACGGCTTAATCCAACTTAAGGACTAAATTCCTGGTCTGGTCAAAATTTGGCAGTTTCAAACAAACCAAAAGAAATATTTTATCTTAAAATAGGACACATTTGTTCTAAATTTCGAGGGAAAACAAGGTAATGTAAGCAATGAGGTCAGCAGATCAGTTGGCCCGAAATACATAGTTTGTCATCCTGGAGATAAGTTATGGTCATGGTTGACTTGCTAAATACCAAAGACCTTACACACACAGGTCCTCATTTTTTCCTATCATTTCCACAACTTTTGGCACAACTGAATCCAAGATGCATTTTGTGGATGAACTAAAACTAAGGTAAAGTCGCAGTAGTTAGTTCGTCGACAACCTGGCGCCTTCTAAAAGTATTCAGTGAAGCGTAGTTTACTTTCTGGCTTGCAATCAGACGGTGATAGAAATCAAGTTGAATAGAGTCCAAACTAACCTAAAACCTCTTAATAATAAGTTGTTCCTGGAAATAATAAAAATAAAAATTTACCAATGTAAGTCTAAACCATGGACTAATTTTAGTGGTTATGCCACCACCACCACCCACTAACCCATCACAAGTGAAAGAATTCAAGGTGAAAGCAAGTAATGGAATGGTGAAAGTGGATGCTGAAAACCCACGCAGTTCGTGCTCATCCATCCATACGTGTAGTTTTCCATCACACTTTTGCCCCCCAAAAACATGAGAGCACACTTTGTCAAATGGAAGTAAGTAGTTCGTATGTAATTTGTACTGGAATTTACGTGCAGTAAGCAACTTCACAATTTGCGCGTAGGTGTATCCCCAATTTGCAAAATATACGGCTTCACGACACTCTTTGAACTATTTATTTTTGCCCCAAAGACATTTTCTCGTTATGTTATGACGGCAAATTCACGGAATGATTTTCGCAAATGAGCATGCAGTTCGAATCCTCACTGAAAATAGAACTCATAGACAACAAGTTTCTTGGAATAAATATATCGTCTTCAATGGCCTGCTGTCTCATCACTATTGCAATTGGCACTTGCAATTGAGTACTCTGTTCCATTTCCCGTCGTCTCGTCTTCCGTACATACCTTCATCTTTCAACCAACCGCGGCATCACCGCCGCAAAATTCGCCCCCGCTTCTCTCATGTCAAGTGCGGAAGCTGATAGTGAGTGAGTAGAATGCTGATGAGCCTTGGGGGATTGTAGACGACTACCAACCAACCAACTTCAACAAACATTTCTGGTTCAAGGATCATTACTATTACAGAGCAAGATGAGGCCTCTCAAAGGCTTGCCTATACACGGTCCTACCTAATACATCTCAAAGAGGAGGAGGAGGTGATGCACATTTCGCTCGACACGATCGTACTCCAAATGCACATCACGCTATGCAGCAATTGTATGCAAACTGGAATTGGCAATCTTCAAATACGCAGGGTGCTCCTATCTCTAAGAATGTTTGCCTTAGAGAGAGAAAGCGTTCAGTGATATATATGTTGTACTTCCTCCAGTCTCCTCTCTCCAGAGAAGAGAAGAGAACTTTCCGCAGCAGCATTTTCACAATTTGAGTATTTTGAGTGTTGGGTTTTGACATGTCATTTCTCTTTTGTGAATCTGGATTTCAGATCTATTG